TCGAATCGAGCCAGGGGCGAGCCAATGAGAGAGGCATGCAAGACTGCATGCAGTCGCACCCCGTGGGGCGGGCCACAGAGAAGCATTAGATTCGTGCAACCAAAGCTGACCTGTGGTATAGCTTGAAGCTGTGTTGGTCCATTGCTTGCGGCAAAAAAAGTGTTCTGCTGTACTGGCGCAGTTTAAGAGTCAAGGTTTCAAAAGGTCATCGCTTTGTGCAAGCGTTCTTAAACCTTTCGGGGGCCCGCTTTTGGTGACCGTACCGACTAGAGATTGCTTATTTCGGCTGCACATCAATGAAGCATACCCCAGCCGCAATTTCAACAGCGCAGCCCCCCAGAGCTGCAACGGCCTTTTTGGTTACATCGCCGTGGGACTAATCATGTAGCTAAGATGCCAAGATGTTTCAATGCATGGGCATCTAAAATGTAAAAAGCAAGACTCACAGTCAGGTGGCTAGTCTTCCTATGATCCATTCCACTTGAAGGTTTGGATCGGGTGTGTTGAGCGGGTCAGCAACCTCAATTCGGAGTAGAAGGGATCCAATGCAGTAAGCACATTGAAGGGTCCTTCATTCCAGATGCTTCATTGGAGGTGAATGAATATGAAACGTCCGAATTACTTTGCATGCTGAAGACTATGTTGGGCTTTGCACAATGCTTGTGCATTGAAAGGGGTGCCGAATTTGCGTAGACCTCCGGCGTTGGATAACAAGTCTCCAATGTCGCAGCAAGATTGCAGGAGCAAAAGAGTGAATCGCTTTTCAGGTCTTTGAGCAGGGGGTTGGACCACCTGCCATCAGCCCGATTGCAACAGCCAGATTTTGGCGAGGCACATACTTCACATACCCACCCATGTTTTTGGGCGGCGCCTTTCTCTATGGAACTTGAACACGGAACAGTTGGCAGGGGCGAGTTCTATTGCCGCCTCAATTGTCAGAATTTGATTTTTGGCATGCAGAGACTCCGCACGGAATTTTGCCGATGGGGTAGAACGAGCTCACCAAAAGTGGGTCCCTTGCGGGAGAAAGCAGCTCTCCGAGTCCCTCAAGTCTTACGGAAGAGGTTGGGGCTCAGCTGAAGTTGCATATGGCTGTGGCTCAAAATTAAAGAGGGGGGGCAAAAGGTTCTGGTCCATGTGTCCACTTACCGGGGTTCCATTTTGGGTACCGGTTTTTTGAGCACATCGCCTTTGCCCTTTACGCGGAACTGACAAAAACCCAACCCCTCGATTCGATGTTTTGATACTTCACGGCATGGCGCTGGCAGTACTACATGCTGTGTCGAAAGGTGCGCCAGGCCCCATGTTGTTTTCCTCTCAGACCATGCGATCTGCGTCAGCAAGCGGCCGTGGCTCAAGCCTTTTTAGCGGGACACCAGGGTTCAGACAGACGACAAGTACAACGACGGGAGGGCTCCAGAAACTGAATACCAGAACCGAGGTGCAAGTGCGTGGCTCCTGGGTGCCCATGTACTGCAGCTTGGGACAGCATCGTCTGCTTACAGCAGCGTTGAGGGTACCAGTTTGGGGTTCATTTAGAGGGAAACCAAATGGAAACCAGCCATGTTGAAGGGCGCACTATTGCAAGACAACCTCGATGGATGGTGAGCAGCAGGTATCAGGTATCAGCTTCGATGTGTGCTGAAAGTGCTTCGACGCATAGGCCACCACCGAGCCATGCTTCGCTCAAATCTGCGGGCATGCGCAAGATGTCTCAAGCGTCTTGTGTATGCATGTTCCCAGATATGTTGTTTTTGCTTTGTTATTTTCAATACTTGATGTAACATTCCTTTTCCAAGCACTGGTTCCATGCACTGGTTCCAAGTTCAGACATGACACGTGCCTGGGCAAGGCAATGGATGTGGATCTGCCACCAGCGGGCGAATAGGATCCAGCGATGGAAAGCGCGGTCGCCGCGGCGCTGGTCGGTAAGGCGGAGAGGGAAAGCCCTCGGCTCGGTTGCTGACCGACCCGCGGCAGCTCTCATAGGCTCCCAGTTGCCCAGTGGTGCCTTTTTGCTTCTTTGGGGAGGGGTTCCCCTTTAAAGTCAACCAACCAACAAAAAGGACTCAGTGATAGATTCCTTTCATGGCTTTTCATGACTTTTCCACACGAATTGTTTGGTAGCAGCATAGGGCCGTACTGTTTCTTGAATCCCGCCCCCAATTAAGGGAGACTCCCTGTGTACCATTTGGGTGAATGGAAACAATCACATAGCCGGAGGGGACGGGCCTCCTGATTTCCACGTGGCGGGGATGCTTGTCCATTGCTCCCTAGCTTTCAGTGATTCCACACGTAGTGGCTTGCAACATATTTCTGTCCACTGGACATAGGAGTCATGGGGGTTGGGGGGAGGGAGGGGAGGGGCAGGGATAGGGAAAGAGAGCCCACGTGTTTCATAAATAAGGCCTTATGAAGGGCTTAATAAGGGCTTATTTGGGATCCCTCCCCCTCCCCTCCCTCCCCCCCAGCCCCCATGAAAGAGAATGATCTCCCCCAGCTCCAAAAGAATAGCATTGCTTCCCCCAGACCCAAGCTGCTGAGGTAGTCCTGGAAAACCCCGCCGTGCCGTGTCCCGCGCGCCAGGTCCGGCTTCCGGTGACTTCTTTCGGAGCGCGGTACCAGGCGCAGGCCAAGAGAGGGAGCGATGGGTGGCGATTGCAGAATGACTGGCTGAAGAAGTTCAAGCATTGGGAGATCAAGCATGTTCCAATATGTTCTAACAGTATCAACTTAAATAGACCCAAGACACACTTAGATATTTCTGTTAATACTGAATTTATATAGAATAATTCCAAGTTTCGGGGCAATGCCTGGCGATAACCTTTCCGGCCTTCACTAGCCCTGCCCACCTCCCCTTGGACCTGCGAGTCTCCTTCGCGAGGGCATAGACCTGGGCTGGACCCAATCTGAACATTGCAAGAGGCCAGTTCAATGTAGCATGCCGCTCCATTCTGTTGCCCATGAGTTCCACTCAATGGTTCTAGTCAGATTCAAGAGATCAATACATCCAGTTCCAATGGCACCTGCCTGGGCGAATTGCCACTCGGTTTTGGCTTCTCTTCAAACCTATCGAGGGTTCTCGAGGCTCGGCCCTCGCAGGCCACTTCGCCCGCCGCCGGCGCCTTCCCGCGCCCGGCCTTCGCCGCGGCCGCCGCGGCGGCTTTCGCGCGCCGCGCCCGAGGCCGCGCCCGGAGCCGCGGCGACGGCGGCGCCGCGGAGTCTAGGCGCGTGGAGATGCGGAAGCCAGGAATGAGCTTTTAAAGTATTTGCTGATGTCACGGTTTTGTTTTCCGATTTTGAGTTCTTGGGGCCTGCCTTTTTTTTTGAATCCTTCTTTGGGCCTTGCCGGGTTCATGCAAAAGCAGACTCTGCTCCACCAAGAGGAGCTTGTTTGAACAACAGGACTTGAAACGTGTTTGAAACACGGGGCACAAGGCTCGATAATTACCCATAAACCTGCAAAGCCTATAGGAAAACTGATGTGGGCTTTGCTCATTTGAGACAATGGACACGGTTGTAAACCCCCATGCAGGGGCATCCATTGGGCAACGTCCAACTTGTCCCATCCATTTGCGACTGTCACGCATTTGTCGGGTTTTCAATCATACTGTGGATGGACAAATCCTGCACCACCTAAGAATCCCTGGAATGATGATTCCCCCGCAGATACCAAGAAACAATGGTTTCCCATGGTTTCGAAGTGGTGCAGGATTTTCCATCCACAGTAGCTATGGCTGGCTGCCCTCACCCAGTGAGATCAACGTCCAGCGAGTAGTTTGCTTCAAGTGGGCCTAGCTCGCATCACGGAAATGACTGCATCCTCTAGTTTTGAGTCGAGATGTACAAGCATAGGTGTCCTTTTTGGTTGTGTTGGTCGAAAAATAGAGGGCCCTGGTTTACCTAGTGGTTCAATCAACTACCAGGGCCATCTATTTTTCCAAAAAGGACACCTATGTGTACAAGTTGAGATGCGTCATTCGAGCGGCCTTGACTTTGCATCCTACTGTTGAAAGGGGAGCTATGAGCTGATGGGCGGACCCTCGTTGTGACCCTTGCCACTTTGAAGGGGAAACACCACAGGTGACTGTGCCCATTAGTGAGTAGTGGCGGGGGTAGTGGATACATGATGGGTATATGCTGACCCATCAGGTTTATGGCCAAGGCGGTCACGGGCTACCAGAGTCCACCGTTGAATATCTCATTATTTTGATCTCGCTGAGTGAAATCCAATATGTTGCACAATGAGGTTTTGCAATATGCATATATATATATACACACATACATGTATACTTTCACACGTACGTACGTACGTACGTACATATATATATATATATACTGACATGTATAGAATTTGTTGATTTTTGCCATGTCACACTTGCCCAAAGCTGACCTGTGACCTTGCGTTTTTAGCCGAAGTCTCAAACGGTGAGTGCTCTCCCTCTGTTCCCTTCCTGAGCCCCAACCAATACACGGCATATCAGTGTCTCCGGAACCTGGGGTGTGTGAGAAAATGTTTTGTTTTGGGGCCCGAACACCTGTGCACAAATTTTCCTGTTGTCAATGTCTCCGGAACCTGGGGTATGGTATATTTTTTTGTTTTGGGGGCTCGAAAAACCCGTGGTTTTCCTTTTGCTTTCATGTTCAAGCAACCCCTGAAAAGGACGCGTGTTTGTACATCGCCAAGATGCAGAAGCTGAGAGACTTCAGAGTGTCAGAGCCTCCTCTATTCATTGAGGTCATGCTTTCCCTGAAAGGAGTTCATGGCTGGTTGTCAAATCTAGACCCCCACATGGTTTCTCGTTGAACGGGACCGACTCGGAAGAGGGTGCCCACAAAAACGAACAAATGAGGGAAGCCCAAGGAATGATCAATTAAGTCGGGCAGCACCGCCCCGAGGACTGAGTCGTGTATATCAACAGGTTCTACTCGCTTCGTGTTTAAATCTTTCGGACTGGCAGCGCCACGAGGCAAAGGATTGTAATTAGGCGCTGCATTCCATGACGCTGCCCAGTAGACTCTGATAAGTCCAACGCTGAACGCGGCCCTCCCCACCCTTCCCAGCACTTGGCAAATCTGTCAACCTTGCCTTTGATGGGGGTGTTTCTTGAGGGTAAGATTTCCGGGCTGGTTTATAGAAACGGAAACCAAAAGGGGAGCCATAACTGGTTTGGTCACCTAGTTTCACTCATACGCGTGGGTGTTGTGTGATCTATGTGGTTGTGTATTTGCTTCTAATCTTTTGAAGGAGCTCGTTCGACACAGGCCCTGCTTGGGTTTGTAAAAGTGGGTTTGAGAGCCCTTCTTTGTAAATACCGAGAAAAGTAAAAGTGACAAGGCAGTAGATATTGCCATCAGTGACCCCAGATTGGGCAAAAGTTGTTCAAACAAGACCCTGGCCCCCCTGTACATAGAAACCTAAAGGAGGTTGTTCAAACAAAAGCATTGACCCGGCACTGATCTGGGGTAGACTTAGGATACATTTTGCATTTTACAAGTGACTCAAAATTAAGCAAACAATAGCATATACATTATATATCTGGGCCTAACTCTGATCATGTGACTCCGCGTAGCACGTTCAGGTGCTACGAGGTGGTGCCAATTTCCGGGAAGGGCGCTGGCGCCGTGGCGTTGCGCGACCTATGCCCCGGCGAGCTGGTGGCAGAGGAGGCGATTCCGTTGGGAGGGACATTGGTCGAAGGCTGAATACGATCATATACGAACCCTTGGTACGAACTCCTTGTTTATGGGTTGATCGACAGTTCAGTATGGCTCAGTTATGGGACATCAAACGTTCAAAATGACCATGGGTTATGGGTTCGTATTATGGACCTCTACAATCAGCCTTTGAATGGGATTTATTGAATGGCATGGGTGTCAGGGAGTGGGTGCGCAAGTGAGTGGTGCTTGCGAGAGTGTTTTTTTTTCGCGACTTGTCCATTTCACTTAGACTAGTACTGGCCAGTACGGCCAGTTTGCGGGCGCCCCAAGTTTGCAGCAACCACATATTCTCTTTTTTAGCCCCAAGGGCTTGCTCGTTTGCTGCGGCGGGCGGAGTTTCCAGCGGACCACCCGAACCCAACTTGTTGGCTTTGGCGGTCCTGGGCTTCTCGCCGGAACAGCTGAGCCTCAACTTCCGTCGGTGCCTGTGTCACCAAACCTCTGAAGAATCTTACCCCAGTTGCCCAGTGGTGCCCTTTTTCCTTTTTTTGGGGGGAAGGGTTCCCCCTTAATGTCAACCAACCAAAAAGTTGGCTGCCGATTATTTTTTCCCCATGGAAATCCGCTGGGCATCTGAGGCAATCCTGAGAAAGTGCTGCAAAATGTTGCATCAGAATCAGTTACAGCTTGAGACCGCACGTGATCGCACGTGAAAAGCAGATGCGCAAGCAGCGCCATGTCGCAGAATGATTTTGAGTAGGGCGGCTCAGACTCGACTGAGTCAGCGCCAGATAGGAGAAGGAAAAGAAGGAGCCTAGACAGGTATCAAAGTGTCCATTTGCAGCGCTTGTGCTCCCCTTTCCTTTGGAGCAGCGCTCGACGCCCTATCACGGCTCATTGCAAGCTTTGTGATGGCACTTGTTGATACGCCCCCCCCCCCCCCGCTTGGAGCCGGCGACGTGCATGACAAGCAGTCGATTGACAGAGAAGTGCTTTTGAGCCATGAAGACATCCTTCCCAGGCCTTCCATTGAATCTGTTATACGGCAAACGGGAAAATAAGGACGAGGCTGTATACGAGGGTCGATCATGTATAACGCTCAATGGAAGGTCTGGGCTTGCATATACCAACGGCGCCTTGTTGTGTTTTTGCATTTTCGGACCGCGGGCGAGCTTTGTAAGACCGCTGTTGATTGTCAAAAAAGTGCCTTGGATGCCAAGCAGCGGTCCTGTCCCTGTCAACAGCACCCTATTGCATGTGATGTTGGAAACATGTGCAAGCTTCGTGAAGCCATTGTTGGTTGACACAGAAGTGCTTTTGAGCAACAAAGCGCCCCTTTCTCATCAACAGACCTCTATCACAGTTGCATGCTGGGACCATTTGTGGGGCTTCATAAGTGTTCAAGGCCAATGCTGATTGATGCAGAACGAGTTTTCAAGGGTTTCAAGAGCGCTGGCTGGTGTCGACCATAGCCTCTGGAGCCTGATACGTGTTCCACCCTTCCGAGGCTCTTTGTTTGGATGGGGTCGGCGGATACACAGGAGGAGGGGGGGCTTTCCCAGACGCAGAGCCATAGGGGTTAGTTTGGGGTGCGTCAAACAATGGCCCCAAAATGGTATGCCTTCCTGAGGGCGTCCCATTTAAATCATTTGCTCACCATTTGTTTTCTTGTTCGTCGAGTTTTCTTGCTGAAGGCAGTCCTCACTCCCCGGGTTTCTGGCTCTGGTGACTTTCTGGGAAGACGACTCTATGGATGGACGAAATCCTGCACCACCTAAGAAAGCCGGGCATGATGATTCCCCCATAAGTACCATCAAACAATGGTTTCAACCATGGTTTCAAAGTGGTGCAAAATGGATTTCGTCCATCCACAGTATGGTGGTAACTCATGAAAAGCTTCGTGACTTGTTTTGGCCACGCCACTCGATCAGAAGCGAGGCCCTCACCCCGCACCCCAACGAACGTCTCCCTCCGCGACACCGCCACCAGGCGCCGGCGTTGCAGTGGTCGGGCGCTGAGGACGAGGAGTGGCAGGGCTCTTGGTGGCGCAAGGGTCTGGGTGAGTTATAGCGACCTCGCACGACCGAATTCGCCCCAGGTGGTTCATGTGGGAAATGGCGGGCTGGTGAAATAGAAAAAAATCACCCAGAGTATCCGGTTGACGCGAGTCACCACCAGGCTATGGACCGCAAAAATTTTGGGTCCTGGGTTCCAGTGAGCGATTTGGGCGAGCCGTTTTGGGGCTGACGCGAGTTTCGACCCCGGTTCCATACCTCACCACAGACTTGCAGGTACACCCTGGCTGAGTCCGGAGTCGAGCCTTCAGGACCCTCTCCAACCCTTTTCTTGCTGGGAATGAGTGAAGTAGACCAAAACCGGGGGGCTGGTAGGTAGTTTTTTTTTTTTTTTTTTTTTTTTTTTTTTAAATATATATATATATATATAAAAACATAATAATTTGATTTGAATGCTCCACATGGGACATGGAATCCCCAAATTCCCTTGAGGTTTCCCGTTTAACAATTCTACGTGGGTCCCGTCGAAAACGACGAAATACTGATGTCACGCGAACTCATATGGGGGCTGTGGAGACCGAACCGTGAGTGTTACAGTAAACACATGTTGAGCGTTTGTCATGTTTCACACATTGCTTAAACCATGCTGGATAGCCTTGATAGACGTGTCATTAATACACTATTGACAGCAATTGATGGGGCAACTGTTGAGTGGACAAATGCTTGGAGCGCACCAGCTTGCACGCCCTTCCCAAAATAGACGCACGTCTTTGTATGCATATTCATTATGATTGAAAGGCAACACAAACTCACTATGTATATTCCTATACGCATACAACTGCTATGACGCACACACACATACGCACGCAGAGTCTCAATGCTGAAGGACGGCATTGATTAGATAAACGGGTGGCTACTTCTGCATGACCACTGCTTTGCCATCGCGGTGCCGGAAGGTAAACTCACCTTTTTGATTGCCACATGTAGCAGCCTGCAGAATTCTCATTCTGGAATCCGTTTGAGGTTTCAAGCTTTACCAACCAAACCCAATTCGTGGTGTTTTGCCAGAATCAAATTATAGCAGGCCCCTGAGAAGACCTGATCTTCACTGTTGGAGGTTTTGTTTTTTTGGCTGCGTTTCTGGGCTGCAGAAAACCAGGTTTCTTGCTACCATACCAAGGGTTGTAAAGTATGTTCTTGCTGCTTCGCAAGCATGTGGGGCATCGTGGCCTGAGAAGCCGATTTTTGTCGCGATTTCCAAGCGGGGTTGAACCGCTTGCCGCTCGGACCAGCGTGAAGCCAGCTGGTGGAAAAGTGTTTCAGTCCTTACTGTCACTGCCTGTTCCAACCTCCCAAATAAGAACAACCTTTTTCAACCTCCCAAACAATAACAAACTGTTCCAACCTCGCAAAAGTTGACAGCTTGTCCAACCTCCCAAAACAGGACACTTTTTCCAACCTCCCAAGAAAGCACAGCTTTTCCAACCTCCCAAAAAAGCAGGAGTACTGCTTTTCTACCCGCCTCCCCCCCTCCCAAAAGAAAAAACACAGCCCCCGCAAAGTCTCAACAAAGCACAGCTTTCTCAACCTCTCAAAAAACAGCTTTTCCACCCCCCCCTCCAAAGAAAAGCACAGCTTTTCCAACCCCCCCGAAAAAAGAAAGAACATAAAACACAAGCCACTGTTCCACCTCTGAGAAAAAAGAGTTGGCTGGTTGGGACCGGGCGAAGCAAATCCTGGAGGAGGAGTTGCAGCTTGCGGCCGCCGACTTGTCGGAAGAGCAGCGTCGAAGGCTACTGGACCTGGAGGACGAACCGGGTTTGTCGAATAGAGCGGGGCTGTTCAAAGGTGATCCGCAATATGCTTGGGCTCACTCCCTGAGTTCCTGGACTTTAAACTTTTTGGGAAGACCATTTTAGTGGTAAACAGAAAGTTTGAACTTTTTTTGGCCCATCCACTCAGCAAGTAAGAATATGCTTGGGGGTTGATCAATATTCCCGGCCCCCAATGACCATGGGTAACTTTTCCCATGTGGGCAATATCATCTTTGTAGTGGCTTGCCCCAAAGGCCCCATGTCCTACCCTCCCCCGCAGACTAACATGGAAGCTCCCACCACCCCTTTGGAAGACTTAGTTCCATATACAGAGGCATTCTGGGAGCTTCCATGTTAGTCTGAGGGAGTGTACCTGGACGGCCCCTTTCAAGATCGCTTGGGGTCTGCCCCTTTCCGTCCAACGGGTTGTTTTCTTCATAGCCAGCCGTCTGCAATGAGCTCCTTGGGTTTGTGTGAAAAAGGGATCCCCGGAAGAACGTGGGGAAATGACCTCTTTGGTTGAGGCTCGAACTTCCGCCAGCCCCATAAATCTGCCAATTCTGGCGTTTGGTGCATTTTGATTTGCAGTGTTGGCTGATCACATTTTTCCCCATGACGCCGATGCCATGCCTCGTGAGGCTTGATGTGGCCTTTTGCTTTCGACCATGGCTCCTTTGACGTCACATCCAGCTGTTGTGTGGAAGTTCTTTGGATCGCCCGCTCCCTTCTTTGTTCAAGTCTCAAGCTTAGTGAGGACACCTTTGCCGAGAGCGAGGCAGACAAGACGCGCCTTGGATGCACCAAAGCATCCCATCTGAGTCACCCTTGCAGAGTCTGCCTCCAAAGAAAGGCTTCCTGGTAGTGAAATTCATCAAAGAGCCCCAACTTGGGGTCGGTGGCAGATTGCCAACAGGCGCTCGATGTGAGTCTTAGGAGCCAGTCTCAACTCAAGTTTCGCCTCGAGGCTTTCTGGACCCGGTCCAAAAGGCTCGTCACGCATGCACCATCCTTTGCTCGCCGGAAAGAGACGAGTTCGGAGGCAATGTGGCCCGCAAAAACGGTTTCCCGGCCACGTGAAAGGACCGGTTTCCCGGCCGAGTTGTTTCAAGCCGCCATCTTTGGAGCTTGGTCATCGGAACTGCGGGCTTCGGAAACCTGGGCAAGACGGGGAGGGCATCTTGCTAAACAAAAACACGAAACTTGTTGGTGTTTCAGGGAATCCATCACTGGAACTATGTTTATTGTTTCCAGGGGGCAGAAGGCTTGTACTGGATAGTCCCAACCATAAATGGGTGCCTTCATCGCCTTTTCAATTCTCTGCATGGTTCTGGGTAGACCATGTCAATACCGGGTTTTGATTGTGACTCATGTGAAAGAACCACAAGCCAGACCCGCAATTAGACTGGGTGAATTGTAACGATCTCACACGACCTCGCCCCAAATGGTGGTTTATGTCGGGACCTGATTTCAGGTTGGTGAACTATTCTAATTCACCCAGCAACTAGAGCAGCTGGTCCTTGGCCAACCCGCGAGGCTGCTGGGCATCGCGTCCACCAACGCCTTCCAAGCGGGCGAGCAGGAAGGCTACGAGGAGAGAGACAGCCGTGTGCTGCGCCGCGGCATTGATTTGGTGGATGGCGCTTTGGAGCTGAGCGGGGTGAAGTGGTCGCGCGGTTGCGCGGTCGCGGGGTGTGTTCATGGTGGTTGTTGGGAAACATGTTTCCCATTTTTGCTTCTTGTGGTGTGGTTGATCATCCAAGTGCTGAATCAAACAGCTCAAGGGCCATGAGACGTGACTAGATCCCTGGATACGCGGATACGCTTTGCCGCGATATTTGTGGGTCTGTCTTTTTTGTAGGGTACCCCGTTGTTTTGCTGAAGAGGAAACACCACCATTTTGGGCGGTTTTCTAAAAACGACATGTGACATGCCCCATGTGAGTTGTGAAGTTGCGAGCTTTTGGGATTGCTTCCATCTCCAGGCCTTTACATCCTGAGGGACATCTCTTGTGCCATATTGCAATGGGACAGCCCCTTTCCTTCAGTGAGGGGAGTTTCTTCGGGTAATCCCTGGCCTGCACTTCGCAGGGCAAGGATGAGGAGTTGAGATCCTAGTCAAGAGCCAATCCATCCCACTGTTTGCCGCATGGATGCTTGCCTAAGGATCCAGGTCAACCCGGCCGTTTTCCAAAAAGGAATGCCCCACAACTGGATGCTCTCGCGGTTTTCCTTGGAACACCATCCAAATGGAAGCAACTAATCTCTATTTTCATGCCACTTTTTGCACTGACTTTCCAAGTCTCTGAACTTCACACCTATTGGGAAGAACATGCTCAGGGTTGCTTCTTAATATGTGGCTCTGACATGGTGTAAAACTGGTTTTGCATGAGGGCTTGCCCCATGTTTTGAGAACGTTTGGAGCAAAGAAACATAGCTGGGGGAGGAGCGGGGGGGGTGGGGGAGAATCCGCAATCCTGCTGAGCAATTCCAAGAGGGCAACACGAAAGTTAAACCACAAACTATACATAGTGTGACTGCTAATTTCTGGTGGAATTTCCTGCATCTGTGTGATAGTATGCCCACTGGGGGGGGGGAATGTGTGTATTGCATTTTCCACGTTTGCAACCCCAAGAGGCCCACCACGAACGAGCACTTGAGGTACGTTTTGCCATGTTTGCAACCCTAAGAGGCCCGTCTCACTCCCTGAGTTCCTGGACTTTAAACTTTTTGGGTTTGGACCATTTTAGTGGCAAACAGAAAGTTCGGACTTTTTTTGGCCCATCCACTCAGGAAGTTTGCGGCCCGGGACGAACGAGCGGTCTCGAGGTACTTGGAGCTGAGCCGCTTCAACCACTCCTGCCGGCCCAACTGCGAGGGAAGCTGGGACAGCCGCGAAGGAGAGAGACGGCCCAGATGTAACGGGCGACTCTGGGTGTGGCGCTTTTTGGAAGCTACCCCTTTTTTGGGTGGTGATAAAGGGAAACCAACAGGGAAAAAGCACGATATTTTTTGGGAGGGCCCCGAAAAAATGAGACACCCATGGTCTGAAGTCGTTTAAGTGCACGGTTGCAGCTTCGGTAGCCATGTTCTGAATTACAAGGATCCTTCAAGAAATGCTATGATCCTTTGCCCAACGGGTCCAGTTGTTAGTAGGGTAGTGAGGTTTGCAGAGGCAACCTCTGGGCATTTACCAAACATGGGCAGTAGCCATTCGGCACATGAATGTCCCTTTAGATCGCTTGTTAGAGGCTTCAGGTTCTGGGAAGAGTCGCCGTGGAAAATTGACCCTGGACGCAACATCCAAGACTTGCAGGCTCCCAGCTGTTCTGTTGCCAAGGTGCGACATGTTGTACTTGCCGGTGCAGTGCTCGTCGGTCACAAGCAATCGTTCTCACCTAACTAGCTGTAGTTTGCCCAGCGTACAAGGCATTTTTGTTTTATTTACTTTTTTATTAAAAAAAAAGTATCCCCAGTACTCGAAGATGTTCCTATGAAACCTTGGTAAACAGGACAAATATCGCCAGACTCTAAAAGGAGCCGGTGCAGTTCCATCTTTGTCGGAGTAAGAAGAAGGTTTGTTTAGCAACACTTTGCGTTTTAAGTTTGGGAGTAAGGATGCTTGGCTAGGATTCGTTCTGCCTTTTTTCTTCTGGTTCGAAGACGACCAGTTGGCATTGAAGGGGTGTCCTCATCAAATTTGGAGGCGTTTGCCAGGGCCTCTTCGGATTCAAGGCACGCTTGGAAAACCCAAGCTGCCATGTCCTTTCGAGTAAAGCTCGGGAAGGGCCCCTTGTCTTGTCCACTGGTTGCCACTAAAAGATTTCAAGCCGCAAGTCTGCAAGCCGCTTGTTCCAGGCCAAAAAGTCACAAAATTTGGTGTGGGGCTTCGTGAGGCCTAGATTTCTCTTCCTACACCAGTTTGAGAACCAACTTACCTCTTAAAAACGCAACTTTTCAACTTTTTGGGTACATGGGCTATATGTCTGTAAAAGATTAACTTCCCCAGGGCTTGGACTTTTAAGGGGCAAGCTTCCTACACCAGTTTGGCTGTGGCTCAAAAACCCGGAATTCCAAAATGGCTTGCCCGATCGGCAAGTGGAAACATGGACCAACCCAAAACCCGCGGTTTGCCCCGATCGTTTCATTTTGAACCACAGCCCGTCGGCTTCGAAGAGGTTTCTGAGACCATGACTGCGGTTTTGTGGTACGGGTTGTTCGCAAAAACATGGCAGGACCTCTGATCCATTCTTCCCTAGAATTAGCTCCCTTTTTTGTGTTTGCATTTTTGGGGTTCCCTTTGTTTTCCATTAACCAGGTAAAAAAGATATGTGTTTGGGGTTGACTAGGTAAAAAGTATATTTTCCCTCAATTTTGTTGGGGTTAACCAGGTAAAACACATATATATATATATTTGCTGGCGTCCGAATTCCAGCCAAGCATTGAGGGATGTCTCTCTGCCAGGACGGTTGCAGATCTATGCCTGCAGGGCCGCTTGCTCGGTGATTGTTCCTCTCACTGGGTCCCTTCAAGCTCCATGTGGGGGCTCCAAAAAGTAGCTTTCTGGAGGGTCTCTCTTTGAATCATTTAGGGGGTGATTGTCAGAAAGATACTTTTCGGGCTCTTTTTGTTCTTCCTTTCATTTAGGGGGATTGTTCTCAGAAAAAAAGAAGAAGCTACTTTTTGGGCTCTCTCTCTCTCTCTCTCTTGCAATCAGCATTGAGGGGGTGATTCAAAGGTCACTTTCATGGATTCAGGACCGGATGTTCACTTATTGTTTCTCGTTCAAACCTGATGGGTTCGGGTTGTTCATTTTGCCAGGGTTGGGAACTTGGGCCGAACACCCGAGTGGAAGTCATATGTGTGTTTGTGTTTGTTGTTTTTCCGCTAGAGTGCTTGCTGTGTTGTTTGCTTCTGAAGATTGACAGCAAATTCACATCTGCTAGATCAACCCTGGGGTCAAGCTGCGAGTTATGCGGGTGGGTGGCTGTTTACGGATTCCACGATGCCAGGGATGCCCAACATGCTTGTAACCGACAGGTGTCGATGCACAAATTGCACCGTGTGCGTGCGTGTGTGTGTGTGTGTGTTGGCTTATGCAGTCATCAAGCTCTCAACGTGCTTGAGACAACCAATGTCAGACGCAAAGGTTCCCTGTAAGGCAGCCATGACCATGACCCACATCGATGTTCGGTCAAAAGATCCAGTAGTCTCCAGTCTATTTGAAGGACATGGGGTACTCACAAGCTTCCCACAACAACCAGGGACTCACTAGATGTCAATGGCAACTGACATGGCGCAGCGCCCAACACCTCGGGTGAGTGAGATTTGAGTGCTTCTTCCATGGTTTGATGGAAATTGGGAATTGAGGTTCATACATACTTATCAATATGGTTTTCTTATTTGGGCAATTTATAGCGACTTCACTTGAAGTTGTTTGGCGACCTTTGCCCTTTTTTCAGGTTGGTGAATGAGTGTGATTGAACAATTGCTTTGAACAGGCCTGCCTTGGATCATGGCATGTTTCAATGGTAAGGACACATCCCATCCCAGCGGAGGTTTTTGCTTTTTACAGAAGGATTCCATGGCTCCCAACGTTGAAACCTTTGGAAAGCCACTTTCACTTTGATGTGACCTCAAGCCAGATTCCATCTTAGTAGTTGATGCACGGGCATTGGTCAACACTGAAGCGCTCATTTTGGCACAGCCGCACACATGCAACTCCCAATGTTTGTCACTTGGCCGTGTCGTTTTGGGCAAACCAGACAGCAAACACCCATGTTTGGGCCCCCCAGCAGGGTTTAGCACAAAACCCATGTGTTGCACTCCGCTCTTGTCGGCCTGAGGACATCCCCGCGGGTGAGGAGCTGTGCATTTACTACGTGGATGTGCGCATGCCTACCGCTGAGCGGCAGGAGAGGCATCTATACACAAGGGGTTACTCCCATGAGATGCCTTCCTTGGGGGACCCTTTGTGGGTTTCTTCCAAGGGAAATCCAAAATGGAAAGCACTTCTTTTCTTGCAGGGGCTTGCCCCATTTAATGACAAACCCATGTGTTTCCCACTTGAACTTGAGGGGTGAAAAAATCACATCCCTCCCCCTCTGTCGCCAACCTGTGGACTTCAAGTGTTACGTTCCTTTTGCGCCGATTTTGCGTTTTTGCGATTGAGCGATCTTCCTTTTGTATGCTGGATGCCCTTAAATTTGCAAGTAGGGCAACAAGTGGGAAGCCGTTCGTAGATGCAGGGCGTGTTTGCCCCTGTCATCCACGACAAATCTGCAACCAAACTGCACCACACTACAAGAATTGTAGTTGGTTCACATACGCGATTTGGAGGTGTGAAGGCACCGCATTTTTCCAATCGGAACCCAGTCAATGTAAGGGATCCTCCATCGTTGGACTCCAGGATTGAATGGGGTTACTACTGGTTGTGTGGCCATCTAAGTCTACAGCAACTTACCTTTTTTTCTGGATGTGGCTGGTTCATTTGCCTTTTGTCTAGTTGGGTCCTCCGTTTTCTTTTGGGCAAGCCCCCGTTTGGGTTCCTTCAGTTGAATCTGCAGCAGTGTAGTACAAGTGCCTCCTTAGAGCCGGGTTGCGAGGCGCTATCAACCCAAATCAAGTCATGATCCTAGGACAATCATGTAGTTGTTTAGCCCCCAGGAGTGTCGTGGCTGGACTGGACTCCCCCCATTCGGTGTTGGCTTGTAAGAAGAGAAACTGTCGGATTGGTTCATTTTGCTTGGATGTTAGGACTTTAACTTTTTACCAACTCATGGGTTTTCCCGTATTAAACCACGAGAAGAAACAAACAAATACTTTAGCAGGGGAGCAGAAAGCAAGCGAGATAGGACTCCAAGCGCTGCCGGGGCATGTTCGGAGCTTTGGACGCCAGGAGCGGATGAGGTCCTTCGGGTTTCAGTGCTCCTGCACCGCCTGCCAGGCCGCAGGCGCGTCGAAAGAGAGCGAAACGCGCCTGAGGTTCGGCTCTACTGTTTGGGTTCGGACCATTTTGGTGAAGAACAAGTGGCTGTGGGTCAAAACCAATGGGATCTCATTTTGGGGGGGGTTTCGGCGCACCATCCATTTTAAAACCTATTTTAGTGGGGATGGGGAGGTTCACTGGGGGTACGGGATTTTGACCCATGGCCAAGTATGGTCTTTTGGGGCCAGTCCACTCAGGAAGTGAGGAAATGGCTTGAGTTTTGAATCGGACACGAAGGATGAGTTGCTCTGAGTTTCCCTTTGGCTTTTGCACCAGCCTTTCGAAAGAGGCCACACAAATCGTCCCTGATTTGCAAAGCGAGACTGCTCGGCAAATGTAAGTTTGACATAATTGTGGCTATGACCGGAGACTGATTGTTATTCGCTGCTGTCAGGAGTCTATATGGTTGTCAAGGTCTTTCCCACAGAGGAGGGAAAAGGCGCCTGCTAATGATTGGGCCCCATTCTTGGAAGATTTCATTGCTTTGCTGTTCTTGGCATGTGCTTGTTTTTTTTGTTTTTCCCCCTTTTCTTTTTTTGCTTGGTTTTGCATACCAAGAATTGGAACCAAACTGAGGGCCCTAGCCATTGGATGCCAAGCCCAGCTGCGCCCAGGAACCAGGGAGGCCCACCAACCTGTTTGTTGGAGAGGAAAGGATGGAAGCGAAGATGTACCTAGTGCCCTTCAGCTCCTTCAACTAGATGTACCTAGTACCCTTCAACTTAGTCAGGGCTCCTTAAAAGATCTCCATTTTGCCACCATTTGAAACATGTTGCTTTTTCAACACCAAAATAAAAGGGAAACCACCATGTACACGGCAATGTTCAGGCGTAAAATGTAAGGATCCCTGTTAGTCCTTTTGGGGGAACTGCAATGCAGTGAAGTGAGCAACGGACATATGGCCCCCCTATCGGTTTCTTGTGGTATTGTCAGGCATTCAATTTGAATTGAACGCAGCTGGCACAATTCCCGAACTTGCGATCCCATTTGCTTACCCACATAGCTGGAGCCGTAGCATCTACTTGTACTCTGATGTATGCTTCTTTTTGGAGGAGGCTTGCCTTGAAGTTCAACTGTATATCAGAGCCATGAGAGATATAGTTGGAGGCGGCTTGTAATTTTTTGGAGGCTCTTGCCATTTATGGAGCAGGTCTCTTTTTGGAAGAGGCTCGCCATTTTTTTCCGACCAGAGACTGACTGGAGGTCGGCGGGGGACCGACCATGGGGGGGATCTGAGCGCCAGATCCCATCAGTGACCAGCGGCGCGCGCGGATGCAGCTACTCCTAGCTCATGACTCGGAGGAGGACGAGGAGGCGACTTGGCTGTTCGGAGCGCTGGCTGCGCCCTCCCCAGTTGTGTTTTCATTTAATTTGAGCTCCCATCAAAACGGTGCAGGGACAGTCCGTTTAAGTCTTTATATGCTTTGGGGTGGACCACCATAGTTCCAAGTTCAATTGTGGTTGCCCCAAGCTAGACGTGAAGCCAGAGGGGATGCTTGTTCCCAGAAAGGAAGTTTGCTGGGTTTTCGTTTACTTTGAGTCATTGAAAACCCCCGATCCACCCAACAAGACGAGGGATTTGCCAGCAAGTTCCCAGCATTATTTCCATGTGTTGTTTGTCGTGTGCTTGTTGCAAGACAACCAGCAACGCCCCGCCCACTGCCCCGACCACTGCCCCGACGGTCGGCCACGTTTGGGGAGGAAGGTTCTAAGGGGCTGAAGCCTTTAAGACAACCCCAGCCCATATTGCGACCGAAGCCCCAGACAGGATCCAAGACAATGCAAGAGCAAAAATTGGTCGCAGGCTTGGAAGCGAGCCCGGAATTTGTGCTTGGCATGTGTCTTAGATTCCATTTGCTGAAATGAGTATTTTATTATGATTATTATTATTGTTATTTTCCCATTTTGGTTTTGAACATAATTTATCACTATACTGGATTTTTTTCCCGGGGGTCTTAGGTAAATGGAAGTTGGTGTTTTGGTTTTGGGCGTACCGTCATTTACTGTACGGGGGCGACATTGGGACTCACCAAGCGAAGACACCTTGCTTGCTTAGTTGCGCACATGGACATTTATTTTCTCCGCTGTGTGCCCAGGATGCCTTCTGCATCATGACGAGTCTGGTAACACCTTGCCGCTCTGCGAATCACACCATGGGCTACTTTGGCTACTTACGTATTGTCTACTTTCCAGCTGATCACTTGCATCCTCTACATACTGCCTACTTGCGGCTCTGCGAATCACATTCACCATGGGGTGCGAATGTTTCATCTCTCCAGCGCACCACTTGCAACCCCTACTGTGGATGGACCAAATCCGTTTCGCACCCCAAACACCCTGGTTTCTCATGTTTCCCAACGTAAATACCAACAAATCTCATCGTTTTCAACCTCCTGGTGTCATATTTCGGTGGTGCGGAAGGCAGTGGATTTCGCAACCATCCACAGCACCTTCACTTAACTTTGCATTTTGCTTGGATGTTAGGACTTCAACTTTTTGCCAACAAATGGGTTTTCCGTATTAAACCACGAAAATGAGAAACTTTGAGCAGGGGAGCAGAAAGCAACTGAGTAGTGGCGGAACCACCAATCATCGCCAATCCCAGTCGAAAAGGTACACCCCACTTCTGTCCGATTCCCCATGTATGGCTTATCAATTGGGGACCCAAGAAAATCGGGTCGGACAGAACTCCGTGGCGTCCGCTCCCCCCGCTTCCCGTCGCTTCCCGTCGCGAGGCGCTCCGCGGCGTGGAGGAGCTGCTGGCGCTCTACGACGCGGAGGCGCTGCACGTGGCCAACTTCCGGAAGGTGGCGGCCTACCAGGCGGGGGCGGGCGGGGGGCTGAAGCGGGGCATTCGGCCTGGCGGCGAAATCCATGTCGCATCCCAAAAAGAAACCATAGATTGGTCCTTGTAAGTACCGGGAAACAGGGGGTTTCCCATTGTTTGAAAGTGGTGCAGGATTTCGTCCATGCTGTTGATGGAAGGAATCTATTTCGCAGCAGTTGGTATGGTTTATCCCAGCATGTATCGGGTAGCCATAAGCGGTGCAGGATATCCATTTTTATCTAGGTCCCCCAGCAATTGGTGCCCTTCTCACCAACTTTTTCTGGTTGGGAGATTCGGTTCCCCGACTAAAATAGACTACCGAAAAGGAAAAAACAACAAGTTGGTACCCTTGCTTTCACCTCTCTGCTGGAGGACCCAGTCATGGAGTTTCCGCGTCAATGGGTGCTGGATTTTGTTTTGCCTCTCTTGGTTTGAAAGGGAATGGATTTCACTACTGGAAATGCTTGCATGTTTTTGTTTTTTTCTTCTCTCTGACTTGAGCAAATGAGTCAAATGGAGATGTTGTGTTGTTTCGCGGTTTTCCTTTTTCCAAGATGTTTGGACGTGGACAAGAGGCCTTCCCAAGAAGACAGCCATCTTGCAAAATGCTCCTGTCCGCGTTCACTCCAGCTGTTGCTTTCTTTTTGTTGAGTGTTGTTGTTGCATTTTGTTTTTGCTTTTTTAAGCACCAGGTCCCTGCCGAAGATACAATACCACATTCTTTTCTGGGGAGTGCCACGCCTTGAACTTCAAGGCCCACTGGAGATGGCCTATATAGCTTAAGGCTTTAGCTCGGGACTCGGCCTGGCAAAGCTGCTAGGCATACACGCTCTCCATGTCCCTGGGGCGAATGGCGGATGCTGAGAATTGGGCGCAGCGTGCCTACCAGACCCTCGGACCGAACTTCGGCCGCTTGAATCTCCTTGGTGGTTTGGATGCCAAGTTGATTTGATGGGGTTTACCTGGGCTGGAAACAGCCGCGAATCTGATCCTGGAGTTTGAGCAAATCGTTGGCTTGCAACGTCCGTCAGTAGATGGAACAGAAAGAACAGGATTTTATCTCTTGTATGTTCTCATCCGTTAGCCTCCTTCGGCAGTTTCAGGAGAACATTTCGGGGGGTTCTGTTTAGTCATAACCAGCCTGCGCAGGACATGAGTTGTGGGTCCGGTTAAGAGTACTGGGGTGGACTTAGGATACATTTTACATTTTACCAGTGACTCAAAGTGAAGCAAACAATAAAATGTACATTCTATAACTGGGCCTAACTCCAATCATGAGTAGCCAGTGCTTGGCTCAGGTATAGCCTGCAGTGCCATGGCCCTTTCCACGCGACAACGAAGATCCTCCGCCACCATGCGAGCCGGAAGCGAGCCTAAGCGGAGCTGAGCAGGCGGGAGATTCCGTGGAATGATAGACCACCAAAGACTTCCATGTGGTTACCAACGGTTAAGGATAGTTGTTTTGTTTTCCCCTGTTGGTTTTAAAGGGAATCGATCACTACTGGAAATATTGTTTATCTTTTTCCAGGGGACTTAAGCAAATGGAGGAAAACCATGACCAGGATCCGCATAAGGAGGGTTGAGAATGGAACACAATATGCCTAGTTTCAGGTGAGTTTCCTCTAGGTGTGACGTTGAAGGTGAGACTCGAGTCTGGTATCACTTGTATGTTGACAGGACCTGTTTGTTGGATCGCATCGTGCATTGCTTCAAACACATTGAGAGAAGGCTTCATGACCCCGCCAAGTGCTTGCTTACAAGTTTACGGCACATTGGATGCCCTCTTACGCGTAGGAGGGGTGAGTTGGAACCCCTGTGCCGCGATGAATTGGACTTGGCATCGGGAACCCCATGTTGGTGGGTTTCAACGGGATACCAAAGAAACCAACCACAGCATGTGAGCCTCCATGTGAGAAACCACATCTCATCATTTCGGAAATCCTTCGCAATCCGCAAGAATGGCTTTTTTTCGCTATTCAATCGCTTGCTTGCATGTTGCCCTGGGTGTTTTGGTTGGATGTGGTTCACTTGCCTTGTATTTCGTTGGACTCCCCATGTGGGTTGACGTCTTGGCCCGGACCCCCCCTCCCCCCTTTGCCAGGTCCATCGATGATCGATCGCCGGGGATCGATCGGGACTCGCGGCGGCGGACGAGAGCTCTCAAGCAGTGAGCCGAGAGCTCTCGGCACGGCACGGGCGATCCATGCGAGTGGCCAACACCAACCGTTGGCCCAAGGCGAGAAGCGAACCGACGGTTTGACCGGTTTCGGTTCCCAAATGTCCGGTCCCACTTTTTTAGAAAAGGTGAGGAACAGGAACGGGGGATTTGGCGAAGGCTCCCCAGTAGATGTGTTCTTGCTGCTTCGCAATGGCAACTAAAAATGCTCAGCAGGTGCCCGCGAAGATGGCAAGATGGCGGATGGCGGGCCAGGAAGCTGAAAGACCGATCTTGGACGCAGACCGCAGACCGATTCATCCAATTCCAGCGGTGTTTGCTTTGGATGAATCGAGGCCATGCTGATCAGAGGCTGAACATGATTCAACACTTACGAAGGAAAGGGGCCCACAACGACCAATCCATTATGGAAGAGCCCACATGGGTGTTTCTCAACATCAGGGACCCCTCAAATTGGTAGGTGTTCTTTTGGTTTCCCCTTTCGCATCCAACAGGGGGCCCCACTATTTCGAGACATTTGATTTGTGGAGTAATTGCCTGGAAGGCCTTTTCAATTTCAGCCAGGAGCATGCGGCGGGCTGGGGTTCACAGCAGTTTGCCATCAACTCCTTTGTGTCATGAAAGAAACCTTGGTTACACGAGTAGGAATGGTCAGTCCGGAAGAAGTTAGTTGCAACATGTGCAAAGGCACAGGCAGAGGTGCATTTTGCTTGGATGTTAGGACTTTAACTTTTGCCAACTAGTGGGTTTTCCATTAAACCACGAAAAGTTAAACTTTTCGCAGGGGAGCAAAAAGCCACCGAGAAGGTTAAGTGTAAGCAAATCCTACTCACAGAGCCACCCCTCGACAACCCGAGTGCTCGATTCCTGCAGTCTTCGATCAGTAGCAGTGGTAGCAGTGGTAGTCGTAGAGAGCATCCGCGAGCCTCACCCGTTGCTAGCGACCCAGAAGGCGGGCCATGGGCGGGAGAGACTCGTGGGCTGGGCCTCTCGTTGCGGCCAGGATTCGCTGGGCTTGTGTTGGAAGACCAGCAAGAATAGCAGATGGGTACGGGTCAGAATTATGCCACCAGGGTACCGCAGATTGTAGTCCATGTTTCCATTTACCAGGGTTCCATGTTGGGTACCTATGTTTGACCCACAGCCAGATTGGCCTTGGTAGAGACAGTGTACAGCATGTTGGGTCAACGAGGGGAGTTACCCGCGCCTCGTATGAAGAACGAAGCTGACCTGGCACTGACAGCCCGTGAAGCACGCGAGCGCGCCTATGCCCACCATCCTGCAGAGTACATGTTGAAGCAATGCTGGGCAAGTTTGCTGCAGAAGTGCCGGTAAAAGCACACATCTTTTGCGCGCGTGAGAACAGGTATGCCTTTGGGAAGTGCCGCAAGCTTGCGCGACGGCAGCGTGAAGGCCTTGACCACTGTAATGCGATGCCAACCGATATGCACATGCGACCAGCGCGACGTCAGCCCCCAACCCCAAAACCCCCCTCCCCCCCTGCAAGGGTGCAAATCGACAAGCGCAAAGCAGGCATTCCGCCAAGAATGCCGGGATACGCTGGTGAAACGCGTTGCAAATCGCACGTGCACAACTGTGTCTCTTGCAAGTCTGGCTAACCCTCCCCGGGTTAAAGCAACATGTTTGGTAGACGAAGGGGAAGTTGGCCCGGAGAGGATGGTTACGTTCGGAGGGCGTGCGGCACAAAACTGGGGGATAGTTCTGACTTTGTCAAAGCACTGCAAGACACGGCCACACCGCTGGCCAAAAAGGCGAGTATGTGGACGGTCTGTGGCATCTGTCGTTGGTGACAGCCTGGGCACAGCTTGCGCAAGGAGTGTTTCCATCAGGGATTCTGGAAGTAGACAGTGCGCACAGCTGTTGGCAGGCGCCAACATGACAAGCGCTTGTACAGCGCAAGTGAAGAAGTCTGCGAAGGAATTTGTAGCTAAAAGCAGCCCCAACCGGCGCAGCAGCTCAAGTGCATGGAAGGCGCTGAATCCATGGCAGCGTCCGCAGGCTTGCTACCGTGTTCGTGCGCCAGCGCCCGGGACCCGTGAAAATGCTGAAAACCTGTACCCAAGACAACGTAGAGCAAAGCGCTTCGGGACCCTCTTGGCTTCTCACAGCTCCCGAAGAAGAGCAACCCACAGCCTGAGACCGTAAAAGCGCGTATCAGAAGTGCCACGCCTGCCAGCGTAGCGTGCCCGGGTTCTAAACCCGAGTACGCGGATTTGAGACCCTTCAAAACACATGTTAGGCAGGAACCCCCAGCCACTAGTATTTGTGATGCATTTAGGACACACTCCTGACTTTAATTCCCCAGCGCCTCAGCCCCCCCCAAACCCAACATGTTGCTTACCCTAGTTAGCGAACTGGATGATCTTGAGGCACGAGTTAGTGAGCAGGGACAACCATTTGTGCTGCAAACGACAATTGTTTTTTTTCTTAGGCGCCAGCGCATTTTCGACATGAGATTGTCTCAAGATAGTGGCGCCCAAACAATGCTACAAACCCTTTAAAGGGTAGTGCCATAAAAAAAAAAAGGCAGACCCGCACATCGTTTTTTCTAAAGCCTTTTGAAGGGTCGGAGTGTTCTAAGCTGAGATCTCGTCCACCCAAATTCTGCGCGAGGAGCGGCTTCCGGCCAACAATGGGCCCAGTGTGTGCCGACGGATCCACCGCGCGGCCCACGGACAGACAGTGTCTGTGATTCTCAAAGAGGGCCTCGGAAGTGGCACGGAGTTTCCTTGTTCTAGTGGTTGATTCCTTGTCCATTCTTTTCAACCATCGTTATTTTCAATACCGATTGCTGTTTCCAACCAGGGTTTTGGGTGGTTTTGTAGAAAACATTCGGATGCCTGGAAAGAATGGAAATGGAAGGTACCCCTAGACTTTGGGTTCCCTCACTTTCTAAGTCCATGGGCCTTACGCTTTTGGGGAAGACCATTCTGGTGGTAAACAAACAGGTTGGACTATTCTTTGGGCCAATCCACTCAGGAAGTGAGTTCCCTAATCGATCCAAAAGCGGGTCCACCTTTTGAGCAACGTACAAATTGCGAATGGGAAAGAGTATGCAGCATTGGGGCCATGTGTTTGTTTGTATCGGGGATGCTTTGGGTGGACATCACCCACATGCGGATTGTCCGAGTTTGCCGATTTTCTCCATTTCAGATAAAGCAATTTGCGCTGTTGTTCTAAAAATACGAGATCCTTACACTGTACATTGATTGTTTTTTGTTCGATTGTCAGTTTCCAGTAGAACTTATGTTGGTGGATGGGTTGCTTCGTCTCAGGTTTTGCTGAAACTCGCCGGGTGAAACACGACTGACGCACGGACTCAGTTGTCCAGTACTTGTTTGTTTCATTTCAGGTGGCAATATCGTTAAACCACGCGATAGAAAGGTGGTGTCGTTCTTCCCATTGGCACCGGGCAAGTAAGAAGACAGCTGGCAAGATGGATGACGCGGGAAAGCCACCCCTTTTTGAAAGTCGGCATCACTGAAAACAGGTCAGCACGGAGCAAGGAGGAAGAGATTCATGAGCCCCTTTGTGCGCAAGCTTTTGATAGAGTTACATCAACTCAAAAGGGGCTTGGTTTCCACATGTTGCAACCATTCCGAGCACTGCATGGATCCACGACCCAAGGGATCCAAAAAGCCCAGTATCGAACATTGATGGCACTAGTTTTCAGTTTGCTTCCGTCTTTGAACTCCCCACCAGAGAAATACGTGTATGGAGACGGGTAATGTTGACCCCATATTAGTCAACCCCAGTTTATTGATGGGGGGGTGTCCAAGTGGGTTTTCTGGAGGTTCAGATCCTATTGGAGGGGCCCCCACCCCCATGAATAAACTGGGGTTGAAAATCATTTGGGGTCGACATTAAATGGATGCTGGATGAGAATATGTGTTTAGTTTCTGTTAGTTTTAAAGGGAATCTGTCACTACTGTGGACCAACCCCAGTTTGCTAATAATCAACACTATCAGACATATGTGTGTTGGTCAAACTTAAACCACTAGAAATTGGACCTCATGAATTTAGTCCTGGGTTCCTTTTTTGACCCACAGCCATATGGGGTCAACACTATCTAGGTCCCCCAGTAGTACCCATTTACCTTTTTTTTGGGAGATTCGGTTCCCCCACTAAAATAGACTACCGCAAAAGTGGGTACCCTTATTCTAACCTCTCAAATCTGGAGGACCTAGACTATCAGAGACGTGGACTCAACGAAACGTATCTCGCTCGAAGCTCGAGGTGCATAGCCCAATGAGCGGCATGGAACTGTCCTACAGGCGCCGATCGATCGATCCCTGAAGCGGTTTGGGCAAGATCCTCGTACCCAACTTTGGAGGAATGGATCTGTCGTGTTTTTTTCGGGGGCCCACCCAAATGAAACTTTTGAGGAATGGATTTGTCGCTCTCTGTTTTGTCTTTTTTGGACTTTGGCCCACCAAAACGGACGGTGCAACCGCTTGGCTTTCCCTTGGAAAGCCCCACCGAAAAAGAATACCCTCGCAAGAAGGCACACCCGAAGATCTTGGGCTGGCTCCAGGGCACCTTGGAGCTTCCGGCTTTAGGGAAGAAAGCCCGGTCAGGAAAAGGCTATGGAACTGGGGCACTGCAGGCTCGGCTTTTCCACAATAATTTCACTGTGCCTTGTTGGATAATTCCAACCATTCTTTTCAACCATCGTTCTTTTCAAAAACCAGCTATTTTCCCTGGGTTTCCGGAGGTTTTCTAGAAAGATCCGGATCCCTGGAAAGAATGGAAATGGAAGGTACCTCTAGAATATCGCTGTTTGGACGTGGTTGCCTGAGCAAGTCCAAAAGATCATCGCCCTGTTTCATGTCCATCGACTCCGGACCATGAGCCCTGGATCACCGGGTAAAATTTGCCAGCCGTGGGCCTTGGTCATCAACATACCCATGGTAGCGTCAACTAGGTCCCCCAGTAGTGCCCTTTTACCCCCTTTTTTGGGAGAGGGTTCCCCTACTAAGATAGACTAAAGAAAAAAGTTGGTACCCTTGTTCTAACCTCAAATCTGGAGGACCTAGGTCAGCCATCATGAGCATTCGTGTTGTTTTTTTGTGTGTCGGAATGCTGTTGGGTCACCCGAGTGTCTATGGGTGACCGGCACAGCAGCCACACAAGCACAACATGGGGGTCTCGCCATCATCATCATCATCATCATCATCATCACCATCATCATCATCATGATCATCATCATCATCATCATCATCATCATCATCATCATCAGTAGCAGCAGCAACAACAACATCATCAACACCATCAGCAGTCGCGTTGTCAGTAGGGACAATCCCGCCAGTCATTCTTTTTCAGGATGCATATTGTATTGTCGCATGGGGTATCACTTTCCCTATTCTCGGCTGAGGACGAGAACTTGCTTTGCCAATCTTGGAAGTGTTAACCTCAAAAGAACCCCTCAGTACTCTCTCGGGGGCTTGGCTTTTTGGTGAGACCTGGATGCTCGAGAACCTGTTGCCAGACCCATGAAGTACTCCTCTTCTGAAGACTGCGCCTCTTGCAGCAAAGCTGCTCTGAATCCCCCGCAAACATTAGCATTGAAGGCGGGGTACCCTCGAAGAATGGCTGTGGGTCAAAACCAATGGGATCCCATTTTGAGGTAGGTGCACCACCCATTTAGAACCTATTTTAGTGGGGATTGGGATGTTCACTGGGGGCCAACCGATTTGGATTTTGACCCATGGCCAAATGGACCTTTTCCGTACATGCTCCGCTTGTGGGAATGGTGACCCAGAACCTTCTGCGCTGTGAATGGGGATCATCCTGAGAAGACAGTCTCGCCGCGCTTGATTATTCTCAGGCTCAAAGACGTAGGCTTGTCCGCCAGGCTAGTTTTCTCTGATGTGCAGTGTTCATGTGGGCCACTCTCCGTTGACAGGACAGGGGACCAAAAAAAGGGGCCGGTGGTATGATGTGTTTGAGGTTCTTTGTGTGTGTGGGATTGTTTGTCTATTTGTTTGCTTGTTTGTTTGCTTGCCTGCTTGCTTGATTGTTTGCTTGCTTGCTGGTTTACTTGATTTGTTTGTGTTGTTTCCTTTGTTTAACTTGTTTGCTTGCTTGCTTGCTTGCGTGCTTGTTTGTTTGTTGGTTTGTTTTGTTTTGTTGGTTTGTTCTGTTTGTTTTGTCTGTTTTGTTTGGGTTTGGTTTGGTTTGTTTTGGTTTGTTTGTTTATTTGTTTGTTTGTTTGTTTGTGTGTCTGTGTGCGCGTGTTTGTTTAATGTTTGTTTCCTTCTGCCTGTCTGTCTGTCTGCCTGCCTGCCTGCCTGCTTGCCTGCCTGTCTGTCTGTCTGTCTGTCTGTCTGTCTGTATGGTAATCCCTGTTGTGGATTTGTTGTTCCGCAAAAACAGCTGGTTTCCTCTCGGATGCCAAACTTGTTCTCAAAAGACGGTGGAAGAAGCACTACCGTTTTACAGACCTTCAAAGGGGGTTGGTTGTGTTCAGCCAAACAGGGGGGTCAAGTCATGGGGGTCAAGGGGGGTTGTTGTTTTCTGCGATCCATTTGTTTGTTTGTTTGTTCGTTTGGTTTTCTTCGCGTGCGTGTGCGTAAGTGCGTTCGTGCGTGCGAGGTGTCTGTGTCGTCTGTGTGTGTGTGCGTGTGAGGCACTGCTTTGTTGGGGCACATGCAAGGCACGCACTTAGCATACCGTTCCCATACTCAGCTTGCCTGTTTGTCCTTGCCTTTGTGTTGGGTTCCCATCATTGATCATTGACAGGCAACGCGTATTGCATTCTTGTGTGCACGTGGTCATTGGCTTTGTCAACAGCAGGTTTTGAGGGTAATCCGCTCCCCCAATTAATGAATGACCCCAATTAATAATAAATGCAAATCCGGGGCCCGGGACCAGATTTCCACTCCACACAATTGATTTTCCATTGCGCCAATACTAAACCAATACTAACGTCTTGGAATCCTTATTAGGGGGCACTTTTGGCAAGCTTCCAGCCTCACTTTTCAACAGGTGGGTTCCTCAATTCCCCAAAAGGTTGCTTTCCCAAAAGCTGGCTTCTCAAAAGGTTGGGTTCTTTTGGTGGGTTCCCAAAAAGGTTGTTCTTGACTCTGTTGTCCCTGGCTGTCCCTGACTCCCTGGCTGGCTGCGTTTGTCACCTGGCTGCGGTCTGTCTGGTCTGGCTGCCTGGGCAGAGCTTTGTCCTGGGTTTGCCCCAAATGTTTTTTTATTTTTTTTATTTTTTATTTTTTATTGGGTCCTTTAATTATTGGGGTGTCCCTCAAAAGAAAACATGTCGCCAAAAGCTGTCTTCTAGCTGCGAATCTCTCTCTCCCGTACATGCTGGCTAATTAACCTGTCTGGCTGCAAACAAACAACCAGTAAACTGGTAAACAAATAAAATGATGCATCAAATTTCCTTATTGAACCGCTTACTCGCGGACCTTACAATTCAATCCATTTCATCCAAATCCTACGTGAACCCTCACATTGTTGGAAAAGCAAAAAAAAAAAGCAATTAAAAAAATATAGTTTTGGGGGGATTTATTTATAATAGGGGGGGGGGCGTATTTATTAATAGGGGGAAGAGATTACATCATCCACGTGCTTCTCCATTGGGCACACACAACATGCAGACCTGCAAATTCAAAAGGATGAGGTGGATTTGATGCTCAGATATAGCTCAGCTACAAAGGCAGTTGATGCCCTAACATGCCTAAGAGAGCTTGACGCTTGCTTAGCTGTCCACTGTCCATGTCGTGTCAGCCTGTGGCTTCTTTGAGTCTTGTGTTGTGGGCTGTTGATTGAGTGATTTGGTTGTGGATCAAAATTAGGAACCAAAATGGGTTGCCCTGGTAAATCGAAACATGGACAAACACCTGCGGTCCAATTCCTGGTTTGATTTTGACTCATACCCATTTGTTTTGGGCCGACCACACAGACATAGCCCTTGTGGCATTCCTTTCACTCGAGGTGCCTGGCTCGGATCGTGCATTCATGACTCGAGCTTCACATCAGATCGGCGGTCCTTAAAGTCCGTTTGGTTGAAAACACCGGGCGCCAGTTCGTTTTTTTCCATTCTGGGACAATGGGATTGTGATGTATGTAAGTCTTCAGCTGCAGCTTGGCAGCCGACCAAATTTTTGTCTCCCCGGCATGTGTATGCCACGAGCATGCAGCATGTGTATGGGAGCGGGAGAAACTGAGTATCAGATCGAGAGCTGACGCCGATTTTTGTTGCCAAAAGCGCGCCACGCGCTCGCCGCCTCGCGGCACGCCGCGGCGCGCCAGGATTCCTTTCTTCCTTTGCGTCTCCTGTGATGCCCAGATGGCCCAGCCGCGTTTCAAGGCAAGAGGACTTGCTCCTCGGCGAACAAAAATGGCTTCCTTTCCCAGAAAGTCCTAAGTACCACATAGTTCAGGCTTTGATTCAAGGGGATTCGTCAACCGATTCCTCAAATCCGTAAATATGAGGCACCAAGGGACCCTTTGGGTTTGGATACCCTCCCACTAACTAAAAAAACATGGGTTTGTGAACAAGGCCCAACGAACCAACGAGGATAGTCGTCTTTCCGGGGGTCTGTGCACCACCCATCGCAAGTCGGGTCGCCTTTTCATGTTTTGCCCTTGGAAAAGGTTGGCCTCGTTTGGAGCAACCTCCTTGAAAGGCGCGATGTTGATGTTTGCTTGCGGTGATAAGATTCCTGATCCCAGGTGCAGTCGATGTGTTGCAGTCGGTGTGGGGAAGACAAGACTGGCATGGAGACCTGCCACCCAGAAGGTAGAAGTCATCGATCTGCAAATTCCCTGGGCATCAAGCAGGGTGGGTTGGTACCTGGTCGACAAGGCTTCCCTGCGCATTCGGCTCCCAAAATTTGTTAGAGATGAGCAATGGCAACCCGAAGTTAACTGCTTCGGGCCTCGCTTCCTTGTGAGTTGTCAAACAGCTCCAGAACGGACTACGGCTGCAACTTAGCAATCGCCCATCCCCTGCCTTACAACCAACTTGCCATTTGGAGGGACCCGACTTGTCTTGCGACGTTCCCCAACTGCCGTCAGGTCAGCTTCCAATAGGTGGCCCCCCTCGGGCCAGCCATGTGGAACACTCAGCAGCTCATTTTCATCCTTTTTTTTTTGTAGCAGTTCGAGCAGTGGCAGTTTCCTGATACTGTTCTCGTTTGCGCTTGCCGCGAATCGACCCTTTGACCTCTTGGTTTTCCCATGTGATCCCTTTTGAATGTTTCATGTTCTTCAAGGTGCCGACCGGGAAACGTTTTTGGGCAAGTGGGTAATCTTTCACGGTTTCGCAAGGACCATATCCATCTTGTAGGCTCTACTTATGCGGCAAACACGCTTGGCCATGGGAGGCGAACCGTTAAAACCTGATTCACGGCTAGCAAGGCCGTTGTTTCCTTCCTTTAACCGATTCTTTTTCCCCCTTGTTTTTAGTGGCTGCCCCACTGAAAATGGTCTTCCCCAAAAAGGGTTCTCTGTTTTTCAGGGTCACTGAACAACTGAGTTAAAGCCGTGTTGGTAGAGCAAAGCGTGGATGGAACTTCGGCGCTACTGAGTTGATGATTGCACGGTGTTGCGCAGCTTTCAATTCACTTTGCGGCACCGAACGCTCAGGTATGCGAAAGCCACTCGGAAGCATAGACGGCCTTTGGTTTGAGTGCGAAGGGGAGACAAGCGCAGCTTTGTGATCAAGGAGAAGGAGGACCTTAGGTACGAAAGCGTAGTAAGAACACCCACCTGGAAGTTGTAGTTTTCTTCAGCCCTGGTGCCTTGCAGTTTGTTTGTGGACCTGAGCAATCAAAGAGCCCAATGACATCGACCTGGCGTTGGCGTTGCTTGTAAGGACATGCGGACCTGTAATCAGCGCCGCTTGGTGGCAAGGAAATGTGGCGAGTTGCATTGCTCTCGGTGACCCTCTGCATTTAGGCATGCGAATAACAGTAGTTGCAGGCATCTTTCGGCGCATGGCAACAGAAGAGGCAGTGCACGTCATTTGCCAATGTGTGTTGCTTGCTCATGCTGCTTCCGGATCTCGTTTCGTGGCTGGTATCTTTCAATCTAGCCATCAGGGCTCCCCAATCAAACCCAAGACCACGCCCCACTTCGTGCGGCTTCCTTTCAACTCAGCCGCCCGTTTTACTGGGACACCTTCGTCCTGAGCTCTTCTCATCGCGATTTGCCAGCCGCCAGCGGATGAAAAGAAGCTGAGGCCTTCGGTCGCGTTCGAGAGCTAAGCAGGTGAAGGACAAGGTGTCCTTCCCGACGCCTCGCGGACCGAAAATGTTGACCCTGGAGTCATAACACCCCGGTTGATTGATAGGGGTTTAGTGGGGAATCAGACCACTTTTGGAGGGGAACGTCGGAACACCCTTATATTAAGAAACAGGCGTTTGTTAATCTGGGGTCAAAGTTATCAAGGATCCTGGAACCCACCGAACGAAAGAATCCTTTGCGAAGAGAAACCACCCGTTCCGGGCTTTGCTTTGGCCACGAGTTTGGCTCCAGCAAGGCCAAATGACGGCCCAAACCCGTTGGGGCAGGGATCTTTGGGGTTGTTTCTAGGGTGCCTGAAAGCAAGCACTGCTTCTTTCAAATGTTGCCCTGACGAAATCAAGAATCTAGAGAGCAAGTGGAAATTCTGAATTGTACCGCGGTATTTGTTTGGTTCACTTGCTTTATTTGAGCAAGTCCTAAATTCGAGAATCCAATAGGAAACACCCTCTCAAATAGTTGCGAACAGAAATTCCCAAAAGGGTACCGATTCAAACATCACCCCCATTTCGGGCCCTATTCTAGTGTTCAAAAGGCAAACCAACCCACTGTTTTTTTCCCTTACTTCTTTTTCGGGCTTGATTGCCATTATTTCAATCCATTGCTCTTTCGAAGCCAGCCGTTTCCCTGTTGCTTTTGTGTTTGGAAAGGACAAACCGCAGGTTTTAGTCTTTGGTTCCATTTGCCGGGTGCCGATTTTTTGGGCAACCGAGTGTTGAGCTGCAGGAATTTCTTAGAACCCGATGGATCACAGAAGTTACCCCCAGGCCAACCCTTCCGCCGAGGCCTCGCCCAGCGCAGAGGGAGCCGAAGAAGGAGCCAGCCTGGTACGAGCCGGAGCGGAGGCGCCCCGCTCCTTGCAGCGGGCAGTGTGCCGTGAAACCCATTCGAATGAAAACTTGTGCGGTTCCCAGCCATCCGGTTCCTTGGCTTTTTAGGATTTGAACTGCTTAATTTAGTGATTGAAATGATGTAAATATTTTGTTTTGTTTTATGATTCAATGTATTTTTAGTGTTTAGGTGGTCGGATTTCCGAAGTTAACCCGCAAGTTAAACACTTTTAGCAAGGGATCTGAGGACAGCCCAGATGAGGCTATGTGGGTATGGGTCAAAACTAAACCAGGAATTGGCCCGCAGGTTTTAGTCTAAGTTTCCACTTACCAGGGCAAGCCATGCTGGGGTTCCCTTTGTTTGACCCACAGCCATGTCTTGTAACTTTAAAGTGGTTTCATGTTGAGTTACCTTCATGGACCCATGCCAAAAGGGATGCGGCATGTTTAAACCACCGCAGATAGATTCGGAGACACCCTTTTTGGTATGTGTTTAAAGGGAATCAACAAGAAACCCAGAAACCCAGAATGGGAACACTCAAGACACACCCAAAGCAAAGAAGCATTTACGAACACACAGCGGCATATTTCCGGATTTGGCTTCCGGACCCACGCATCGGGTTTAATCGCCACCCGTTCCAGACCCTTGAAGCGTGTCGTAGTACACCGGCGACACGGGAAAAGTCTCTGAAACTCCTCAGGAACATGCATGGTGTTTTCCTGTATGGTGCCTTCAGTGCTGAATGGATCAAGAAAGGGAAATCCATGCCACAACTGCCAAGCTGTTCTTTGGTCAGTCTTTGATACCTCGGAATGTTGAGGTCCGTGTACTATGGAGCATGGCGGAAAACACCCTCTCGAACCAGAGACACGGGGCCGTTGCTGTTGCCCGCTGGTTAAGATATCATCCCTTCCCCCTGATCAGAAAGGCGGACCCCCCCCCCAAATAAAAAACACTCTCTGGGGGACAACACCTATTTTCATAGGGTCCTGTGCGGTCGAAGGGGAAGGGATGGGATTACTATGTTGTTTCTTTGGTGCATTTTGCTTGGATGTTAGGACTTGAACTTTTTGCCAACAAATGGGTTTTCCATTGAACGCCACTAAAAGTTAAACGTTTAGCAGGGGAGCAGAAAGCAACCGAGGTCAACACGTGTTGTCTTTCTTGTTTGCTCCGATGTGTCGTCAGTGTAGCACCGCCGAGTCATCAATTTTTGAGCTGCCAAGACTCGCATATAGACTCCAACTCCGGATCCGGGCTGTGATTGAGTCCCTCTTGCCCACAATGCTTTGTTCGGATGCATCGTTCAAGGTTTTGCACAATGCTTCTAAATTAATTATGAGCGTGCTTGAATGTGTGTATATATACACATATATTGCATACTATGCATAATGTGTATCTAGATCCCCCAGTAGTGCCCTTTTACCCTTTTTTGGGGGAGGGTTCCCCTACTAAAATAGACAAAACCGGGGGGGAAAAAAAACTGGGAAAAAAACTCGGGTACCAACTTATCCTACCCTCTCAAATCTGGAGGACCTAGGTATATAAACAGCAATAGTAATATTTGGTTCGCATTCATCGTTAGTTCTTTAACGCCGAACTGTGACCTTTTGGTTCCCGCTTTGCCATCTGTATGTACCCTATGCTTATCTCTTTGTGGCGATGTTTGATTTCCAGGGTTCAAATCCAATTCCGAACCAATCCAAACCAACCAAGGGCTACCGAAGTCGTTTTGTCCCTTGTATCTACGTGGTTTCGGATCTTTGGACTTCAACCTTTGGTTGAAACATGTCGGATTGTCCATTGGAACCACCAAACGTCTAAAACTTTTTGCAGAGGGTCAACAACAACCAACATATCATAGCTCAAATTGTATATTATGTGCCTCATTTCAGGAAAGCAGACCACATTCACTCTCACTCAGAGGAGCTGCCGAACGGCACTTATAAAGGGTGCTGTATGCTTCCCTGACGGGGATGCCATTCCGCTGTGAGTAGCAGGAACTGCTGAAACATCGATAGGCTCGTGTTTGATGCGCTAAGTGAGAATGTGTCAAAAGTTAGGCCTTCGCTGTATATATGGCTTGCGCCGAAATTCGACACTTGCCCAAGTCAGCAAACCCTTGACATTGGCTCCTTGTCGCGGGTGGGTTTTCAATGCGTGCTTTTTTTTTGGCCAGCTTAGCCGGACGTGTTATTCCTTGGACTCACTAGGGCTGCTCCGGATGCATCCAAGCTTATGGCTTGTCTCATTCGCTTCCACACAAATCAGCTAAAACACCAAGATGAAACCTCTGAACCAAAACCCACGCGCACATTCAATGCAAGGGAACCGAACAGCACCCTTTCATTTTAACTTGAGAAGGAGACATAGACGAACCAACTAGTCTAGCCATCAGCACATTTGTGGAGTATGGAGATGCCAGTGTTCCTCATGCGCATTTCGGGCCCATGCACCATTTATCCATTGACTGGCTTGGCGTGCCGCCGCGACCGCAGGTTGAGCACCGAGTTTCTTGCAAAGCCCTGGGACAATTTCAGGCGCACGGAAAACTTGCCTTCGAAAGGGGACTTGAAGGGATTTGAATTCTGAATAGTGGCGTATGCGTTTCAGGCAACATGAGGCCTGCTTGGAGATGTGTGATTTGGTTTGCTTCATTGGAATTAGAATTGGGTAGATCTGGGCAAGTTGTAAGGAGCTCACCTGGCGGTAAAACGAGCTCACCATGATGAAGATCCTTTACTGTGAAGTTGGGAACTAAGGTAATTGTCCTAGACAAATTCTATTGATCGTTGTTGCTTCCTGCTCAAAGAAGCGCAGGTAGTGCACAGAGTTGGCATTGTTCGCGTGGGAAGGAAATTAGTAGGGAGAAAGTTTCGCGAGTGAAAATGACAAGAGCCCACAACGCCAAAGCAATTGCTGTTTTAGTTGGCTTCTTCAAAACCAATCCGCAACCCTTATGCCAGATGGCAGTGGTTT